GTGTGAGGAGTGGCTAGTTGTTAATGGAACAGCAGCTTGGTGTTGCCAGGTTGCCTATTTTACTTTTCTTTTCTCCGTATATAATAATAATAATAATCATAATACTCAATACATTTTCATCAGACTTGCAGTAGCAAACATAGTCAACGTCAACCAACGTATGAACAAACAAAAACAGTAACTCAAAAAACCTATGGACAATTGAAATATTCATTCCGTGAATAGAAGGCCTTTTCTATTACATAAGTTTTCAAAGTTTTTTGAAGCTATATGTATTTGTGCTAGCAAATTATTAAAATTTTGTACACTGTTAAGAGTATGGGATTTGCTCATATACAATCTGGCTTAATGGTTTGGCACACTTAGATTGTGTCAGTTTCTAGTGATCACATTATATTAATATATAACTGTTTTTCCTATATTTATCGAGGCTTAGTTTTGTATCAATACCCAATATTTCCAACTTTTTGAAGAAGCCATCTGTTGTAATTTTAATGCTTATCGTAAATTCTTTTCGGACATATAAAATCATCGGCAGATTTCAAAGAGTGAAACTAAAATACACACATTGCACATTGCACATAAGCAAGGTAAACCATTTTTAAGTCTTCAGTACCAACTTCATCTCTAATACTGTATATTAGCGGGCAGAGTACATTTACGATAATACTGCTGTTATTATTTTGTTCTGTTAACTTCAATGAGTAGTCTATTTTCACACCTAAAAACTGTAGTGGTAGTGCCATTATTGAAGTATACAAAAGTCATTTTATCGATGTTCAAATGTAATAACTTGTCATTGTACCATTCAGCTACATTACTTACAAGCTTTGTTGATTTTTGAGACAACTGTTCTATGTTTTTGTTAGCAACCATACCCGACATATCAGCGTACATGAATAAAGAATCAATAGATTTGAATAGATAATATACAGGGTTTGTACGGAAAGTAACAGGACTCATTTTTTCCGCCATGACTGTACTTCGGAGCGTGCGCGCACCGACTGGATTCGGTAGAGAGCGTTCCTAGCTAACGAATGAGCGGCTGATCAGTTGTCTCCGAGCACTTGGAGAGTCAGGATAGACATTTTCGCGCGACGTGTTTCTGTGAGTGGTGCAAGCCGAAAATGCAGCGTTCGTTAGAGCAGAGGTACGCGATTAAATTCTGTGTGAAACTCGGTAAATCTGCGACCAAGACGTTTGATATGATCAAGCAGGCTTACCCAGGTGTTGCTTAGCAGAAGTGGTGTGTTTCGGTGGCACCAGGCCTTTTTGGAGGGCGGGAAGAGGTCGATGATGAAGACCGTGCTGGAAGACTTCGACTTCGACAAACACCGATAATGTGACTCATGTGCGCAAAGTTTGAACTCAGACCGTCGACTAAGTATTCGTTTAATTGCCCAGATGTTAAATTACCAAAATCTGTGGTTCATGACATGTGACACAGCACTTGAACATGCGCAAGGTGTGCGCGAAGATGGTCCCAAAAGTGCTCACTGACGACCAGAAATTGCGGCGAGTGGAAGTGTGCCAAGAAATTTGAACATGTGTGCAGGTGAGCCCCAATTTTTGAATAACGTAATCACAGCTGACGAGTCGTGGATCTTTGAGTATGATCCCGAGACAAAGAGGCAATCTTCCGAGTGGCACACGACGGCGTCTTATCGCCCAAAAAAGGGAAGAATGAGCAAATCCAAAGTAAAAACGATGTTCATTGTCTTTTTTGACATAAAAGACATCGTCCACCATGAATTTGTTCCTCCTGGACAAACTGTCAACGCCAAGTTTTTCGTGGAAGTACTCAGGAGACTCAAACGAAGGGTAAGTCGTGTCCGTCAAGACATCGCAAGCCGACTGGAAGTTGCACCACGACAACGCCCCGGCGCACACCGCCTTTCTTGTGAACAGCTACCTGACCAAGGCCGGCATCCCAACGCTTCCGCAGCCGCCCTACAGCCCAGATGTGGCCCCCGGACTTTTTTTTGTCTCCTCGCCTGAAAAGGCCGATAAAAGGCAAGCATTTTGAGACGACAGAGGGGATCCAAGCAGCATGCACCGCGGCTCTCAAGGCTATTCCGGAGAATGCCTTCCGTGTCGCCTTCAATGCTTGGAAATCGCGCTGGCAGCGCTGCATCGACCCAGAAGAAGCCTATTTTGAAAGTTTTTAAAAAATTGTAACGATTGGCTCAATAATTTTTTTTAAATCAACTCAGTCCTATTACTTTCCGGACAAACCCTGTATGTACACTAAAAATAAAACTCGTCTAACGATTGACCCCTGTGGAAGCCCCATACTAATTTTCGCATAGAATCTCGTAGCACTTAAACGGGATCGTAAAATTACTACTTATAACGCGAAAGTACTTCCCCTAAGAACTTCTAGTTTCAAAAGTAAGGTAGAGAAATTTAAATTTCAGTATTGTTTAGATGGATTAACGTTTCGGTTGGCCCTTTTCAGTATCCATAAAAAAATTTGGTTTGTCATATTTTGCATTTTTCAACGTTGTGGTTAACAAACCTTAGCCTGGGACTGGGCGCTTAAGGAGAAAAGAATGGAAATGAAATAAATAAAGACTACCTCACAACTGTACAGGTAAAAGTCCAATGTAACACTTCTCGATAAAAAGATTTGATCTTAAATCAGTTTAAATTGCTTTGTGCAATCCACAGAAGCCTCCACCATTTCCGAAAACTGTCTGCAACACTAGAATTGTATAGAGCTCACGCACTTTTATATGTTCGCAGAACAGTCCGAATTTGAATTGTCAACAACTGTCAAATCGGTGGCTTAAGCTTGATCGACTTGTAGTATGAACCTTGTATACGGTTGGTTATGGTCATATAAACGGAAAGCAAACATATCCTATTTAGCCGGTGTTCAGTTTATGCAACTTTTGCATAGTACATCAAAGCTGATAGCATGGTGAGCACATCGAACAACCCCAAAAAAACTAAAGTTCTCTTATCAAACGCATCCCCCCAATTTTACTTGAACTATATCATAACAATTGTAAGTAAAGTTTTATGTACCTAGAACCAGGCCAACCCGTGCCGAGTTGCGTTGGAACATGTCAAAACTTGCATATTAGGCGCGCACTAGCTAACGTATTGCAGTGTTCGTTTGTGCTATTAGTAAACGCACTGTTTTTGTTCAGTCAACATGTGGAAGGAATTTCGTAGTTCTAAAAAGGGGATATTTTTAATAGACCATCAAATTACCAGTTCAAAACTTCACTCCAATGGACAGTACCAGCAGTTTTGTTCTATAATATCTGGGAAGTGAAATTAAGAGTCAATGAGAGCGCCAATCTGACTATTCCAGAGTACATTAGTTGCTGGGAAAAGGCACGTATACCGAATAAATATCTACCTAGCTGTGTTAAGAAACTAGTTACCTTATTCCAAGTTTGGAGAGATTTGCAAAACAATGCAAGCAAAACAATGTTTGAGCAGGGCCGACAAGAGTTTGTTACGTACTTGGACAATCTATTTGGTATTGCGCATGCCGATACAATTCATGAAAATAAATGAAGATGGGATCTTCTTGCAGCGGCAGAGAGAGCCAGGTCGACCTGGTCATTTAGCTGGGATGGACAAGAAATTAGCCATAAAAGAAGAAAAGACAAGTCTTAGGAATACCGAAGAACAAAAGCGACGAGGTAAATATGTTACTTCCTTAACTCCTTCGAGATCTTACGAACCAGTGCAAGAAAATTCATCTTAAGATTCCGAGATGGATTTACAAGAAACTTTGTCCATCTCAACTCAGAGCACCCAGCCTGATACTCATCAAACTCAAATGAGGAAAAGTTCCATAACCCGAAAATTGATGGCAGCATTAGATAGGTGTCAGTCAAGTATGAGAAATGTTGTTTTTATTATTGAAACAACCATTTAGGCACTTGAAATAACACTGACGCGTTTCATGTAAGCGAGTTCTCCATACAAAGGACTCTCGGAAGCAAATAGAGCGCGCAGAAACTTAAGGCTTGATTTCCAGAGCGAGGTACTGGATACTGTAACTGTTTACTGAGATGGCGCAAATTCTTGACATCTTGTAGACAAATCTAAAGAAGGTCTATTGATTGTTATAACGTATGAAAATAAAGAGCAACTTATCGGTGTGCTCAAATTGGATAACTCTTCAGGCAGCGGGTAGTCTTAGGCAGTTTGGGATGCTATAATACTACTGCTCCCAATACGGATCACATTAACTGCACCTGCGTGCTTCTCGAACAGAAACTTAGTAAAGAAATGCTTACTTTTCTTTATCGCCATCACGTCTACGAATTGGTATTAAAAGGCGTATTTGAATCAAAGATCGACCAAGTGAGTACAAGCCCTGACATTCTAATGTTTGAAAAGTATCGCGAGGGCTCTAAAGGTGTGGATCCCGAGAAAATACAGATTTATACTGAAAAGCTATCATGCCTGAATATTTCAGAGACTTACAACCTGCTAGAATTTTATCGTCATGAATTGATAAAGAAGTTGCTAGAGACGATTATCGAGAATTAATAGAACATTCAATAATATCCCTTGGCGGAGATACAGAGAAAACATTTAAGATTAGACCGCCAGGCGCCATGCATTAAGTTCCATGGCTGGCCAGAGCAATCTATTCATGAAAAATAGCGTTACTATGTTCCCAGCTCAAACTTTCCAATAAGGATAAGGTAGCTCTATTAGATGTGCCCTGTTCATCGCGACAGCATACGTGAAACCGTAGTTGCAATGCACTTTAACGGTAAAAGCAGCTAACCAGCATTTATGTTTTTTAAAGGCAAGGAAGGCTAACGAAAGAATTGACAGAACTATTTTTAAAGCAGCTTTACAAAGCTTCTGACATCATTTTTGGTATTTTCAGATGAAGTCTCTATCTCATCTCTGTTTGACGACGACGTAGATGAGGGAGCTAAAGTAAAAGTTTTTGCTAATTTAGCCAATGAAAGTCCAAGAGCTAACGGTAAACGCTACATCCCATCGAAAGAAGGACTGTCTAGCCCACTGTGGTAAGTCTGACGAATACATTTTTATTTGTCTTCTTCTTCCTTTTACTGCTTTGATATAATATGCTGTTAAAATAAGCCAGCATAAACTCCGATTCAGGCAATGGATAGCGCCTTATACTGTCTTGTTTCGATTGATGTTATACCTCAGATAGAGGTTAGATGCTATGCTTTCGTTCGTTGTCCTGATTTGAGGCCAAACCTAGACGATGCGGATGAGTTACCAAAAAGCACAAAACGTCTGTTTATAGTTGACTGTCTGTGGTCAGTCGGACAAAACCAGTATGTTCAGATAATAGTTATTCTTCGTTTTTTCATTTCAGAGAAAAAGATCGATGACGTTGTTTGAATCAAAAGCAAGTCCTTGTTCATGCTGACAGTTTTCTCGAAGAGTCTCTGACTTCATAGCCACATAATGATTATTTTCAACACGTAGGTGCAAACACTCAGAGCAGTTAACGATACGGCAGAAAGAGCAAAAAGAAAACTTTGAAAAGAAAATTAGTAAATAATGTTCTTTTGATGATAAATATCTAAGAAATATAAGATACAAGTGAAGCAGTGTTTAATTTGTCGAATACGAATTAGGTTTTGAGTGTCATACATGGTTTCCCTATTAACTTTCAAATTCAAAGTTTTCCCGGAAGTCGGCACAGGTTATCGTTCCCTGATTGCAATATTTATTTTTTGAGTCAAATTGAAAAAATAGAGGGTATGCGTATCTCAATTCGAACAAAACTTTGTTTGCCCTCATAGGCTGTCAATTGGAGGTGTCGAGAGACTGTAGGCTGCGTTTGGCGAACTATTGATAGTTAGTAGTGTCATCTCTTCGCGCACTTTGTAGCGTTTGTTTGGAGCATATTAAAACCCAACTATAGAACTTGTCGACAAGGTTCTGACTGCTTTTCACGTGTCTGGCTATTACTGCTATCCTAATGTAGATAAGTATTCAAATCTGACACATGATATACCTGGCATTTTGCTTTGCTGGACAGGCCTATAGGCACCATAAACACTATGGCTGATTATAGGTCCAAGATTCTTCAAAGGGGCTAATCCTTGTCTGACTGCATTTTCGATATTGATCCTCAAATTGGACAGATCTGGAAATGTTTAAAGGTTACAACTAAAACCTGACATAATTCTTAGCATTCATGGAATTATCGAGAACAATTTAGTATTATGAACCTATTAGTGTTGCAGAGAACAAGAAGAAGAGATGGAGGGAAACTATTTAAAGATAACATCCAATAAGGGGAGAAAAGATTGAATAAAAGAAATAGATAAAAGACACCTTGATAGAAAAAGCAAGTCTTCAAAGAAAAAAGAAAGAATAATGAAAAGTAGTAGAAGAATAATAAAAATGCAGCCACCTGTATCAGTAGTTAGAATTTCAGATATTTAATTATCTGAAATAGTCGCAATGTGCTATAGTAGACCTGATAGTCAGCGAAAAGGATCGCAAAAAAGTATGCCATCCTATAATATAGATAAGTTATATAGAAGCAGCAACTGTCCGCGGGTGAGTAAGCCAACGAAATATATATATATATATATATATATATATATATATATATCTTTATCTTTGTAAGAGTTTTAGAGTTCGTAATTGTTTGAAGTACCTGTTCTATGCGTTCGGAATTAGAACCAAGCAATCCTTCTGGAATGTCAAAAGTGGACTTTTCTTCCAGAGTTCTAAACTTTGGGAATACGAGTGCGTTACCTATCATTTTCATGGTTCATTGTTTATTTGGCTATTAAAAAGTGCTCTACATTGGCAGAATATACATATATTTTTCATAATGAGTAAGTTGCTCCACGTCCATAGCGTTTCTTATCTATTTAATATAAAAATGAATCCCTATTTCGCGTGGTCACGTGATAACTTGAGAACGACTTTACCGATTTCATACATCTTTTTTTTAAGTTTCCTAATGCTGTATAAAATGTTCTTACGGAAAGAAAAATTAAGAAAATCGCGCAGAAAATTGAGAAATCATTGAAAATCTAATGATTATTTAAGATACGCGCGTTTGACAGATTGCTTGAGCATGGAGCACGCACAGCAGAAGAAATATCTCAAGTACCAAAAGAGACGGGCACTCCTCTCCGCTACTATTCGTCATTATTCGTCAGAGCGGTTCGGTGGACCTTTGCTCTTAGTTAAAAGTCTCATCGGTCTGTTAATCTGTCAGGTCTGGCAACCCAGATACTAAACATGTTTAAGGAGAAAAGGGAAAGAAGGAAAGAAAGGAATGAAGAAATAGAGCAAAGAAAAGAGGTAAATCATTTGAAATAGCTTAAGCATTATTGCTTTGACTACTCGAATTATTTTGTAACTCCAAAAAATAATTTTGATCAGTTTTGTATACTGAAATAATTTTGGCTGGTCTGAATTTACAATTTAATTTTGATCACAGTGCGAGGCGCGGCCTGGAATGTTTGCGAACTTGCTCGACTGTGAAGTCTACTGAATCACGCAACTGAGGGTTGCTGTGCGATTCCGCTTGATTATAACGCCGCTGCGCCTGTTGTTTTACGTAATCCCTTAGATATGGGATATCAAGATCTCTGAGAATAGTCTCATTTGACACGTACCAAGGGGCGTTAGTAATTGTGCGTAAGGTTCTGTTTTGCAGGACTTGCAGTCTCTGCATGTGCGTCTTGGCAAGAAAACACCAAGCCGCGCATGCGTAGGTGATTGCGGGTCTTATACAACCGAATCTTGTTGATCAAACTTAATTTTGAATTTCTGCACAACAAAGGTGCCGAAAGGTAATTTGGAATTTTGTTTTCAAAATATCAGTATGTTTTTGCCAGGTCAACCCCTTGTCAATGATGACTCCAAGATACCTGACAGATTCCTCCCATGGTATACGAGTTCCATTCACTGATATCTCTGAGGGGGCACCACGACGTTTTTTAGTACAATAGATTGCCTGCGTTTTTGAAGTATTAATTTTGATCAACCACCGATCCGACCACTCCAATACTTCCTCCACCGCACTCTGCAGCCTGTCGTGAACCAGGTTACCAGAACAAGACTGGGCTAGCAATGCAGTGTCGTCAGCATAGAGATAGACTTCACAGTTGCTGGGGCAAGGGCCGTCATGTATATAAAGTGAATAAAGGATTGGTTCTAAGACCGAACCCTGAGGAACACCGGCTCTTACGGGCCGTGTTGTTGACAACACATTGTTATATCTGATCCGAAACTTCCTTCCTTCTAGAAGAGATTTCAACAGTTTTAGTAGCCAAAATGGAAAACCCTTTTGGATGAGCCCATGTGCCACACCTTGTCAAATGCATTTGATACATTAAAAGCAAGATACCAGTACTTTTGTTCAGGGTGAACCCCCTGGTTACATATTCCACCAGTCTAACTGCCTGTGGTTCCGTACACTGCTCAGACCGAAAGCCGAATTGCACGTCAGGAATCACATGGTGATCTGACGAGAAATTCTCAAGGTGACGATAAATCACCTTTTCAGTGAGCTTAGAAGGAGCTGACAGCAGACTAATGGGACGGTAATCCTGGGGGAATATCGAACCTGCCTTCTTTGGGATCATGATGACTGCAGCGACCTTCCACGCGTTAGGAAAGAAATGAGTTCTGAGCATTGCATTGATTATTGCCACCAGATAAGTCAAAGCCTTGAGTGAAAGCAACTTCAGTGCTTTGTTAGTGATTTGATCCTCTCCAGGTGCTTTACGCATCTTTAGGTCCTTAATGTGACCTTGGAGCTCTGCTGGTGTGCAAAACGGAATCTCAGAGGACTCCGTTGATGTGCTATGCTGAGATTCATTTGAAGAGTCTTCCGTAGAAGAATCTTCTGAAACGGAGTTACCGATGCTAGCTCCGATGTTGGTATCGCCATTCGCTCTGAAGTATCTCCTGACAGATTTTACAATTTGTCGTTCCTCGTCAAGGTCATTGTCCAGATCATAATTGGGAGAGAACTGCCTTTCCATGACGTCAGCAAAAACCTCCACTTTATCCTCAGTCCTGAAAACTATGCCTCCAGGACCATGAATATGTGGTAGTTGTTCTTGCCTTCCGTTTCTGAGCGATTTTGCCACTTTCCAGAGAGGAATACTTGATTCAAGCATCCCCGCCAGAAAGTCGCTCCACTGCTCATTGCGGAATTCATGGAGTGCATTTCTCACTTCTTGGACGAGATTCGTCGCTCCACGAATGTCATCAGGATGGCAAGACCTTTTTGCTTGTTTAATCGCAGCCCTCTTTTCAGAAATTTTCCGACGAATGTCAGCAGGGAGAAAAGGTCTGCCGTGTCGCTGCACCTGAAGCACAGCAGCAAGCTGTAGAGTTTGGTGAACGAAACTTGTCCACTCCGATTGAGCAGCATCTATTCCGTTCTCATTATGTATGACCGGGACGCTGAGAAACTCTTTGAGAAATGACTTGTATAGTTCCCAATCAACTATTTTCCTTGGAGGAGTTTCCTCCTCCACAAAATGCCCATTACATACCTCCAGAACAACAGGTAGATGTCATACAAGATGTCATACAAGATCCTAGAAGCAATACTGAACCTACAGTTTTTAGATATTGCAAAGTCTATAACATCCGGTGCCTGAAAGTGATTGAAAGGATGGTGTGTCGGCTCTTCGGTGCTGTGAATAAGATACCCGTTTCGCATCACATGGTTGTAAAGCCGAACCCCACAAGTAGAGTTAAGCCTTGAGTGCCATGATTGGTGTTTGCAGTTGTAGTACCCTGCCGCAATAAGAAGGCCCGAACAGTCCAGAAGGACTTCCAAGTCCTCCTCTCGCAGCCTGGCACCGCACCTGACATACACCGATGTGATCTTCAACGGAATGCATCCCGCCATATTGACTACCACGGACGCCGCTTCAATGCTTTGCATCTTGGCGCTTGTGCTTCTGTGATAGTCAATACCACGTTTAACGAGCACTGCCAAGCCACCACCCCTACCATTCAATCTGTCAGCTCGTATAACATCATAATTCGAGAAGGCTAAGCGATCTCCCGGATTAAGTAATGTTTCCTGCAGCAGAGCTAAGTCTATACTCTCATCCAATAGAGTTTGATGAAATTCCCGTTTTTTGGGAATATCCCTTAGGCCCAGACAATTCCAAAAAAGAATTATGATAAATGCAGGTTGTCTATTGTACTTAGCCATTCAATGGCTGCGGAAAGATTGCCTACAATGCCTGAGTGGCGCTAGTCAGGGGACTTATTATTTGTTGAAGGGAGCTAAGCACAGTTGCTAGGTCCACATTCTGCGTGTTCATAGTGGGTTGAACAGAGGGGGTAGCCGAAAATGTTGAGACGGCTGCCTCCGCGTATGACTTGCTACGTCTTTGCGCTATGACTTCCAGATTTCGCCTGGGGGACTGTTAGCGGGATGCGCCCCTCCACAGTTCGCACACTTTCGCTCCTCTTGTCCTGTGAGGGGGCATAATGTGTCATATGGTCGGAAGCACATTTTAAACATTTGGGAGGTGCTGTGCAGTAAGACTGCGCATGACCATACCTTTGGCAGCGGTGACACTGCCCAATAAGTCTAGAGTTCTTTTGAACTTCAACTCTGATTGCTAGACCCAGCAGCTCATGTTCATTGAACAGCTGCTGGGACTTTTCAATCTTGGGCAGTACCACGACCACCAAAGGCATGGGTGCGCCGCCACTGCGTTTGAGGCGGATAATGTGGAGAGGAGTATATCCCCTCTGTTCTAATTCCCCTTTGATCTCCTGTTCCGAAAACATTGCGGGTATGCCTCTGACTACCGCGTGAATATTTCGTTCTGAAGGAAGAGGGAATGTATGATGGGGCACGTCCTCCTCCCTGAACAGGCGAACGATTCTTCGGTAGTCATCCTCAGTTTTCGGCAAAATCCTGATTCCCGCATCAACGGCAGCCGCGCGTTCTATCTTAATGCCTAAGCTTATAAAGGTGTAGTCGCATCACGCAAAACAATGGGCGTGATTCGCCCCTGGCGGGGTGCTGTGCTGGTCAACTCACCAGCAACGTGAGATTGTTTCAGATAATGCACAGTCAGTTGATGCAGTGGCCAAAGATTGAGAAGATGTGGTCGCTGCATCGACCGTCATAGGACAAGTGGCAGAAGAAGTTGATACGTTTAATGAAGCAGAAGGTTTTGAGGGGATTGTCAACTTGAATTTTGATTTTGCTTTTGGAAGAGATGGGAAGTCATCCGTCTTGTCGGTTTTGTTCGTTTTTTTTTTGTTTTATAATAAAAATAGCTTAAGCCAAATGCTACGGCAGACACAAGTTCGACGTCCGTCATGTTTGCCTGTTGCCTTTTCACTGAAGCATCCGCAAACGTGTGGACGGCCACGTTTGCTTTTTCAAAAAAAAAGGCAAGCGTTTGAAGGGGTTTGGAGTTTGCGGCAAATGGCAAGCGTGCGGATCCGGCATAAGAGATACGAAATCGCTTGAGTGAGGGCAAAGTTCCGAATTTAGGTGATTAACACAATGCTTCTTAGAAAGTTTAAAAATTCAAAGTACTTCCGGTGGAAGACGGAAAAAACGAATTTTCCCAAAATCATTTTAATTTTTTCCTGACCTTATTTGTAGCGAAATTTTACAATGAATTGCATATCAATATTGCCACTTTTTCTCCTAAAAAGGTGACATAATTAGAATTTTAATATGACGTTTCGTCTCTTTCGACCTCTAGCATCAACTTTTCACATATTTTTTCAGCTGATTCAAGTGGTATTAGATCTACTATGCTGCGTAACAGTATAAAAATACAGAAATTATGAGAGAGTGATATATTCTATCCAATTATAATATAATAATAAAACTTACCTTGCGAAACAACGTTAGTGACCTGAAATAAAAAAATGATTTAAAGTATATCAACTGAGCACTTTCCTTACATTAATATGTGTAGAAATCTATTTTTGAATTACGTATTTTCTTAACAAAACTTCTTTTAAAGCTGCGCTAAAATGACAAATTCGAGAATTGGCAGACAATTAATTTTTGAAATGAGGCTCGTTTAGTTTTAACATTTTTTTGCCACTTGCCACCTATAGACGTCAAACAAGACAAAATTAATTTTAGAACCAATCAAAATTGAAAAATTTCAGCATTTTTCCTTCTCATCTTTTTCCTTTTTTTCAACGATTCTGCATGTCACTAGTACCAAATTAAACGGCTTGACCATACTACTCCATACTTCGTACGCTTGCTCTCATGATTTGACAGCTTTGACTGAAACTTGGATTAGAAGTATTGTTCATACTGCTGAGTAGTGAGCATTGCGTGTTTAGATCAGATAGAAAATATGTAAAAACTTTATTAGACTGTAAAAAAAAGGAAAGAAAATTTAGTAAATAAAACATTATTTACTAGATACTAAATACTTTTAATGATAAATATCTATGAAACATAAGATACAAATAAAGCAGTGTTTTATTTGTCGAATAAGAATTAGGATTTGAAATCCATACATGGTTTCCCTATTAAATTTTGAATTCAAAGTTTGACCGAAAGTCGGTTAGGGTTGTTTGAGTGAACAAAAAATTATTGGCCCTCATAGGCTGGAAAACCCTAATCTACACATACAGTGTGTCTCAGCTAATCGCTTCTCTATACAGGATCTCGGCTCCTGTTATACCTATAGTAAAGGTTAAATTTGGAAAGTTTTAGAGGAAACTTAGAGCATTCGATAGCCGACTTCAGATTTACGATCGGTTAATTGGTTCGGAAATATCGGCAAAAAACTGAAAATGTCGAATTTCGTTTTTTGTCAGTAAATCCGAAACGGTTAACTTGGCAGCTGTCAAAATGTGACGTTATTCGGACATTTTCTTAAGGCAAATAAGAGAGCATGTATGTCATGTCTCAATTCTCTTTTGTTTTCCCGCAACCTTCCTCAACTTTCATTTTTCTTATGGTCGCCATATTGGATTCTTCGATTTTTGAAAAGATCATAAAATTTCCACCCTAGTCTCATAAATGCATCAGATTGGAGTATCATCGAAATATCATCACACAAAATGTTATGTAACAATTTTTTTCTAAGGTGGCCAAGATTTATTTGTCGGAAAATGAAATTAATAAGTTACGCAAGTGACAAATAAATCATGGCCTCCTTAAAAAAACTATTACGTGTGATGATATTTAGGTGATACTCCAATCCTTTATGCACTTGTGAAATATCGCTAGACTGGGAATGTTACACTCTTTTCAAAAATCAATAAGTCCAATAAGGCGGCCACAAGAAAAATGAAAGTTGAGACGGGTTGCTGGAAAACAAAAGACGATTGAGACATGTCGTAAAAGCTATCTTGATTTTCTAAAAAAAAATCCGAATAACGTCACATTTTGACAGCTGTCAAATTAACCGTTTTGGATTTACTAGCAAAAAACAAATTCCGCCATTTTCGGTAAAAGTGGCTGCAACTTAGTGTTACAACGTATCTGCTCATTTTGAGACATTGTTTGGAAGGGTTGAATATTGTAGGTGGCAAGCTGTATGCGATAGGTGTTTGTAAATTGTTGCATGTTCCGTGTTACTGAAATACCTTCTATTATTAGGATGGTCTGATCTGGGTAATATTATGCACCTGTTAGACAGCTACCATGAAAACAGAAATATGATAGCTTCATTTTATATAAGTAGTTTGATATGTAGAGGTCGAAGATTCATCGTACCTAAGTGAACCTACCTAATCACGATTTGATTATTTGATGATCCCTTTTCATTAAAACCTCCAAGGAACGGAAGGATAAAGTCAGTATATATGTAATTTTTTTTCTGTACAAGTAATAATTTATAGCACATACAACATATTATATGAAAACAATATTTTTGCTGTTAATGTAATTAGTATAAGGTCCGACGAAAAATAACGCTTGACACTAAAGTCAGAATATGTACACCAGTATTATACTGTCAACATGTGATTTATAAATAAAAACACTCACCAAGGTCACAGATATGAAAAATATAATTCCGCTTCCTCGAAACACAATCATATTCGCGAATCTAAGATGCACTGGAGCTAAAACTGAACCGGATTACAAATCTGGACTAGAGACGCGTATATGTTGTGGAGCAAGTGTTTCTTGTATTTTGTACGATCGACCTTAACATCCGCTTGCACGGAGGTGTTTCAATATAATATTTTATCAGTATTGCTGATGATATGTAAACAAACGGCAATGTGTGGGTAATTTACCAATAATGTGCTATTTAAAGTTTATTTGCTTTTCCGTGTGGGAAATGTGACCTTCCTCTTTGTTGTGAATCACTAATGGGGACTGAGTTACAGTGTTGCTCTATTAGACTTCGGGTTACTATATGATTTATGAAGTCTGGATTTTTCTCTGCAATAGAACTTCTGCTATAGACATTCGTAGATTAACGTATTGCCCATCCCTATGATGTATAGGGTCGTTTATTAACATTTTTCAAATCGCGGTAATAGTCCCACAGGTGATAACAGTGATAAGACAGTGGTCAATAGGTAGCATTCAAAACTCTCAACAAGTGGAGGAACTGCTGCATATTTGGAATACTGGTTTGTTTTTTGGAAATAAATTGCAAGATAAACGGTATAGCGAAATAAAAAATGCTTTAAATTATTGGGAATTATTCAATTTTGATGATACAAGCAATCAAACAAAACAAACACCAGGAACTCCATCAAAATAATCATCAAAATAAAAAACTTCAAAAGCGTAAATTTACTTAGAGTGCAGGTAATTTGGAATGTAGTATTGCAAATTAAAATCACTTTCTTTTTTGACAATTGTTTACAATTTTTTCTAGAAACTAGTAAATTTCTCAATTTTGTAACCGTTTTGCAGTCTTGGGTAATTAATCTGTTTAACAAAATAGTTTATAATCATTAAGTTATCAGTCACAATAATCACAAATCAGTATTTAGTCTAATCTTATAGTTTAGTGTTTTTATTTACTATTCTTACAATAATCACAGATATACGAGTACAAACCGCATAACCACTACAATCAGGGTGAACCCACAGTTGGCGCATTAAGCGCATTTCCTACTTTTCCCATCTCTTTCTTTTCTTGTTCTAAGCTGTTCACATTTCTAAAACACACAGAGAAATTAATTACCTATACCATAAATATGTGCATTAAATTTGGAATATTCCAAATTAGCAACATGACATCCTAACTTAAAATTAAAATTCCATGTCACATTTTTAATTCTAAATATATTCTTAAAATCAAGATAAAATTGTAAACTAACAAGGATACATAACAGTTCAAATAATTGCAATTAAGATTTGACGTATCGGAGTGAATGATTATTTATTAATGTTTGCATTCTTACCGAAAAAGTTTTCAAAGTAGACGTCTCGTATCCGTGTGACTGGTAGCAGGAAATGTCAAGATGGAGTCCTGTTTTTACTACTAGTGGTTTCGTGTGATTCAAGATATTGAGCCAATTGAATAAAAAGTAGTAAACACTAGGAAGTATTTACTTTTTAGTAAAGTCAGGTCTGTCAAGTAAAAGCAAATACTTAATTTAGAGAGAATAAGCGTTTACTTTTACTAGGTAGCGTTTGCTGGAAGTTGAAGTAATTACTAGCAAGTATTAACTTATAAACGTTCCAATCTAAGTATTTGCTTCGCTACACCAGTAGTACGTACGCATTCCTTACGACGCAACGGCAAAAAATGTCTTCTTCTTCTCACTTGATACTCTAACAGTATTGCCGAGTATAGGAAACCGCATTTTCAGTTGTCCGAATAGTCTTTCTATTATCACCCGTTCCCGAGAATGTAATAGGTTAAACCTTTCTTGTTGTCTGTTTATTACAGGTTTAAATGGAGTCAAGAGCCATGGTGGTATTCCATATCCAGAATCACCAAGGAGACAAAATGATCCCTTAAACTGTGATAATACTTCATTTACTGTAGTTCGCCTCCAAATCCTGCCATCGTATACACTTCCCGGTCACTACCCATCTTTACTTGTACATTTTTCGCTAGCATCACACGTAGCTTGTACATTAAATTTATACCGGGTGCGGCAGAGAGGATGGAATGTTTTAAAAAAATCATAAAATAGTTAATTTTTACTCGAAAACAAATTTATTGATGGAATCAGGTTCACAAGGAAATAGCATTTGAGGCAGTCAAGTGTGGAAAATCACATCAGGCATTTGGTGGCCGAAATGGTTGATGCAGTGCTGGAGGCGTTCTTGGAAGTTCGCGTAGACTCTCTCCAACATCGGTCTCTCAACTTGGGCGACTTCCATGCGAATTTCGCCTTTTAATTCGTCCAGAGTTCGGGGCTTGTTCGCGTATACTCTAGCCTTGAGGTTCTCATTTTGATCGATCAGTGCTTCCATCTCACGTGCGAAGTTCATTCGTTGTGCATAATCTCCGGGCTGTAACTGTTGCACAATGACCAATTTGTAGGGGTGAAAGCGGAGATACATATGCAAAATTCGCCTTACCGAACGATCACTAAGCGAAGTGCAGCAGCATGTTTCCGAGCAGATCGAGTCGGACTGCGAAGAAAGACCTGTCAAACGTGTTCAACATTTTCAGGAGTTCGAACTGTTCGCGGCGCTCCTTCTTCTGTTGATCAGTTCACCACGCCTGCGAAGTGATTCAACCCAACGAAGGATGGTGCTTCGAGAGGGAACAGCTGTATTCCGATGAATGTGGAAGTGGCGACGAAACTCACGCTGTACAACGATGACTGACTCATTATTTCGGACGAAACAATCATAGGCGAAAACGCGGTGCTCCACCGTCTGGTAAAATAATGCTAGGATCTCACGAGTCAAACGGCACCCTCCCCACCTCTCTCGTAGACGGAGGCGGAGAGTACTACCCATCCCAAAAACGGCCGTCCTCTCTGCCGCACCCTGTACTTGTATAGCCTTTGCAATTTACGAACTCGTCAGCAAATCATCTTGGCCTTTTTATTTTTACGTGAGTGCAATCCAACGCGATTGCCATTTAATTTTTGCAACATGTAGTTCAGCGACAGTTGTTGGAAATCTAATCCAGTGATCTGCCTTCTGGTACACTTTATCAAGAACCCAACTTATCGTTCTGCAGGTTGTGGTGCGGTGAATCCAATAAATAGTCTTCAGCTACTCCGCTCAGAAACCCTGGATTGCCTAGATAGCGTAGAAATATCTCCATTTTTGTTCTTGCAGATAGTGCTCCGCCTCTGCGTTAATTATTTTCTGGCAGAAACTCGGAACATAAGAAATCTGCACTTTCTGAATCAAACCTTAACAAACGTTTTGACTGACTAGGGCTAACATTCCGTCTTTTTCGATATGTTTTACCAGCACGTAACTGCATGAAATCTGCCATGTTCAACCGTAAGTATACTATTCACTTACCTTACAAATTATCGAGTATTTACTAACAACATAAGTATTTAACTGTCCATTATTCACTCAATTTTAAGTGAATACTCGGAAAAACTGAGGTTTTACTACATAAGCTAAGTACTTACTACAAAGAGAAGTAAATGCTTGATCTAAAGTATGTACTTCCTATTTTATTCACTCAATCCTAAGTATTTAAGTACGAATGCCCTAGTACAAGCATTTACTGAAGTTTATTCACTTGACTCATTATATTTACAGAAAAAAATACATATGGCGTTTACATTTATTTAGATAACTAAGTATTCCAAGTTACCTGCAGTACTAAAATATGCTGCACGTCCTCTTCACCTAATTCTTATTCGACCAATAAAACACTACTTCATTTGTATCTTATATTTCTTATACAGGGTGACTTTGAAGTTGAGTCATTAATTTTCAGATAATGATTGTAGAAGGAAGATAAACCAAAATATGTGTGTAAAAATAAAAAAAAAAATTACCTTGTTTTATAAAGTATCCTCCCGACAAGTATTTCAGTGCGGACCTGTATTTGATCGTGAGGTCCCCTGTGAGGTCTTAAGTCACCTTGTAACGGTTTCACCGTCCGATCGTATTTATTAAATCACTTCTCGATTATCATTTCATTAATCCCATCTCTAGCTTTTTTGCTTGGAAAATTTTCCGCTTGGAGCGCTTGATGCGGAGTTCCTGATCTGCGATCTTCCTCGCGCTTCCTTTTCACCTGAGCCGCCGATCGAACAACGGCTAGAAATTTCTTCTCAGTAGCACAAGGTTATATAGCACCATGTGCTAGAATTTTCTAGAATGTGTGTCCGTATAGGACAAAAATGATTGGGGCCACCCCCTTTCTCTTTCCCTTTCACTTTGCCTAGCCTTGGCCAATATTTTCACCCATGCATGTGCCTTGGCAGCACCATCGCCTTTAACTTCGCCTACAACTGGTTACGAAGCCACTATATGTGAGGTCACCCCTCACAACTGGGACCTCCCCTTCAAGCCCCTGGCCATCCTGGCTACAGTCGAGTAAAAATGGACCAGCGAAAGATAAGTCGATAGCGTTATAGCAGCGCCAAAGATGTAAAACTTATTTTGTTATTTTTGTAAAATTGTAATGTAATGAAAATGCCTTTTTTTGTTAAATAAAATCTGTTAAATTTTTGTGTTCTGTTTGTTCTTCTATCCTCTAGCCATGCCATGGTCGACACACAGCTACACGCCTGTAGATGTTTTCATGCCACCGACTGAGCAACCGGAAGCTAATGGTAACCCCCTTTCTGTGATTGTGCAGAAAAGTTGGAATCTTCATTGCATTCCATCTTTTCTGGACTTTTTGCGGAAAGGAAGTGTTACATAAATTGGCACCCGCAACGTGAGGCTTCGATAGGTGTTTGGCTTTGTCGACAAGTGGTTTGCTAGTGGAAGATTGGCAAACAGAACATAGTTTTCAAAATTCTTTACAATCTTTGGCAGCATTTCTATTTTTAATTGCTTTTGGTACTCAAATTTCTAATTCCTTAATCATCCTTACTTTTTGCTTAATGTTTAAAATTTTTATCAAAAGATTAAAATTTTTCCACCTGTTTATTTCATAGGCATACTATTAACTTTTAAATTGTCTTGTTTAGTAGTCAGCGAGATCATTGCCAGCATTTTTTTTCTCACATACTACTATAGTTTTTATTTACTGCTGGGGACAGTTATAACTTTTTTCTCATTGTACTTTTGAGATTGATGATATTTTGATATTTTTTTGTAGTTGAATATTGATAGTCTGGGGACTTTAGGTTTCCCAGCATTTTTGTCGAATATCATCAAACTTTTGATTGAGGTTGTGACTATTGTTGTTGATAGTTTACATATTCTTATATGCTTTTCATTTTTGATCACTAACCTCTTAGTTTTTGAAAGTATTTCTTCATGTGCAGTTTTTTGATTTCTTGAGACTTTTCATGTACGCATATATAGCCTAATTGTTGGATCTCTGGTGTACTGATATAGCTCTCATGATGCTTGGTACGTAGGAAATTTACTTTCAAAATTATTTTTGCCTTCCCCAAATGTATTTACTTTTTGAATTTTTGACTGTACTTGAACTTTTGATCATTTGTTTTCATTCTGATGGCAATAATCTACTGACTAGAGTTATCTGGAGTAAATCATTTTGCGATTTATCCATTTTTCTGAATTATATGAAATTGATATTCATAATTTTTCGTATATTTTGGCGGTTTACTTTTTTTCAAGTATTGACACTTGGACATAGTACTTTGATACTTACCTTTCTTTTTTTTCAAGAAACAAATGATGTTTTTCTTGACTATATTTTTGCTACTTTTCAATGAGGGGGTGACTCCTAAATCATTTTTACCTATACAAAGACACACATACTCATTTATGATAATTAAACTTCAACTTGTTGTTGAAATAGTATACGTTCCTCAGTAACTATTGTAGTAATTTTGTCTCTTGTTTGGAGCAAAAGTTTTCATAATTTTAATGTTTTATAGTTTTATCTGGCATATTCTTTGGGGGAAATTAGAACATTAGTGTCTGATTTTCCATTGGATTAACAGGACTTGAACGTCTCTGTACTCTTTTAATGTATGTCAGATATAAAATAATTTTTTTTAAGATTCGGCTGCTCCTGTTTTTGTATTGAAACTTTTTGTTTGTATTGTTAGTTTTTTTATAGTGTTTTAGATCCTTGTCATTTCTTGACGTATTCAGGTTTTTAACTTTAATTTTTTTCTTTCAAGTGTTTCTTTGAGGTTTATTTCTCAATCATGGTTCAGTCTAGACTAAGCCCAAATGACTTATTAAGTCATGAACTCCACTACGAGATTCATATCAGAGGTTTGGAAGTCCCTAATACCGTGGAGGATAAACGTAAAGTTTTACGTGGCTTATTAGCACAGGAATTTCAAGGGCGTAGTTTCTCAGAAACTTCTGTGACTATTCCTTTTGATGAGGATGAGACTGAGATAAGACTCTCATTCAATAAACTCACTGAGATGATCTCTAGATTTACTGGTGCATTTGATTCTGTTGAACATCGCAGAATTTGTGTGCGCTTATTGCATCTATCTGGTAGGATAGATCGAATGTCTCCTACTTGTGATGAGGAGATAAGTACAAAATCTAGATTAAAGACACAACTTGTTGTGTGTGAATCGGATCTTTTAGAGAAGCTTGAGATGCCATCTGCTCAATCATCTCCTCCATCAGTTTCATCTCGTCCTATTCCATTAGCATCAAATCCGCCTGTGACTGTTGCTAATCCTCAAGTATTTCCTCCAGTACATACACAGCCACTCTCTCCTATAAATTTTGCTCCACATAAAAAGATACCAGTTTTCAAATGGGGAATCAAAAAATTTTCTGGAAATAGCTCAGTTATTGAATTTCTAGAAATTGTCGAATCTCTAATGTCTTCCCGTGGTTGCAATGAGATGGATCTCTTTGCATCTGCAGGTGATATCTTTGAAGATGTAGCCTGGACATGGTGGCATAATGGCCATCTAAGAAATAGCTTTCATGATTGGCAGGACTTGATTAAACAACTCAAGGATGCTTTCCTACGTGACAATTATGATATGAACCTAATTGATGAGATTCGTAGACGCAAACAAGGTCAGCATGAACATGTTACGATATTCATTTCGTTCATGGAATCTCAATTCAATAGATTAACCTACAATACATTTACAGAAAGGGACATGGTCAATATTGTCCGTAGAAATTTATTGCCTGACTTCATAAAGTCACTTGCTCTTCATGAAATTTCCACTTTTCCTGAACTAACATCACTTTGTAGGAAATTAGAGGATTCCTTCTTGACTTGTCAACCCCACAATAGACTTTCCACTTCCAGCTTTGTTACTTCTGATAGTACTCCATCATCTCACAGAAAAGCTCCTGTATGTTGGAACTGCGAGAAACTAGGACATTCTGTTCGAGACTGTAGAGCTCCTAAGGCTGTTTATTGCTATACCTGTGGTATGAAAAATGTCACACGCTCTAATTGTCCTTCCTGTTCAAAAAACGTGAGGCAAGAAGTTTCCAATCCGACTCCCGGAACTTCTTTCGCCCAGACTCGAGGAGTCATAGACGTAAAGGGCAAAGCAACTCCAGGTCTCATTCTGAAGTCCAACAAATAGCCAAGTTAAGACAACCTTCAGCAATTAATCCCGATTTTGACATTAATCATTCACAACTTGCAGGTATGCCATCAAATGATCATTCAGAACCATTTATTCAAAAACCAAATGACAATCGTCCACATCTTTCAATATCCATTGGTGATGAAAACATTTTAGCTTTGCTTGATACTGGAAGCAATGCCAACATTCTAGGTTCATCTGGCTTATACTTATTACGTAAATTAAATCTCAACATCGATTACAGTAGTACCTTGCAAATAACAACTGCTGATGGCCAGATGCAGAATACTTTAGGTTTTGCTTTGCTGCCAGTAGGTTTTAATGGCAAAGTTCATGTTATTAAATTCATAATAGTTCCTTCCATTACACACACATTACTTTTAGGCATGGATTTCATCCTAAAATTCAATTTCAACCTTGATTTTCATTCTTTTTCATATCAATCTTGTGCTGTAAATTGTATTCAAGGTGTGGAGAAGCTATCTAATATGGAAAAGGAACAATTATTTGAAATTGTTGAACTTTTTAATAGCATTGCACCTACTGACAGTATTGGTTGTACACATTTATATACACATCACATTGACACAGGTGATGCAAAGCCCATCAGGCAAAGACAATATCCGCTTTCTCATGTAATGGAAAAAGCTCTTATTAAGCAAGTTGATGAAATGTTGGACATGGGTATTATAGAACCTTGCAGCAGTGCCTGGTGTTCAGCGCTCTGGCTGGTTTCCAAGAAAGACGGTTCATATAGAGTTTGTTTTGACGGTAGAAAACTAAATTCAGTAACAATTCCTGACGCGTATCCTCCTCCTTTAATAGACTCTGTAATTTCTAAAATCAGAGATGCCAGATATCTATCATCCATTGATTTAAAATCAGCATTTTTCCAGATTCCACTTGATGAAGAATCTAAATTAAAAACAGCTTTCATAGTTCGTGGTAAAGGAATGTATTGCTTTCGAAGACTTCCTTTTGGCCTTTCTAATAGTTCAAGTGCAATG